AAGGCCTGCGGTAGCTGTAGTGAACGGTGAAAGCAGAACCAAAGAAAGTGGTGGGACAGCCAGACGAGCATGACTGATTATACGCCTACTCGCGGCGAGTTATTGAACGCAACTGCCCGAGGTTGAGGAAGACGCAACGCTTGTTGCGCCATCTCTGTTGGCCGGCCACGATTTTTCACGGGGCGAGCGGAAGCGGGGAACACGGAGTTGGTACATCCAGACGAATCAGGCGCGTTAATCTAGGCGTTCCAGAGGTATTTTCGGCGTGAATGGATGTCATAAGCCACGCAGACGCTTTGGATGAGGGCCACCTGATGGTGGGTTAATGTTGATAAAATCGCACTTATCCTACTGGAAACGCGCCCAATAGGGCGAACGCGGAGAAACGACGCGTTGAAGGAACTAATCGTGGAGGCAACGGCCATGATGTAGGCTAAAATACGTGGCGCAAGGTTGACAAAAAGAAAAAAAAAAGACGAGACAGAAAGAGCGCCAACTCACAACTAAGTTTACTTTCATGAAGCATTCACAATATATAGGCTCTTGGAGGACATGCGCAGACCATTTCATTCACCGCACGTGCAGGCATGAACATTTTTATGATGTAATAACCGATAATTGCAATCATGATATCTGGGAACCAGCAACAAATAGATATGCCTAATGTAAAGACGTCGAAAAAACCAAACGCACCCAAGCCTGCGCAAAAAAAAAAAAAAAAATGCGAGGAAAAACCAGCAAAAAAAGAGTGACAGACACTTAGTAGCACCCAACTAAAGTACATCTATAGATCCAACAGTTGGAATTCACTGTTATGCAACACAACTGAAGGCACGCTGACGCACGAGTCACCTTTCTTCTTTATGTGAAAGGCATCGATGAACTCCCGCGCCAGCGTATCCCGGCTCCTTCCAAGTAGTCGCGTGCGATCGAACTGCGGCGTGCAGCCACACGAAGCACAGTGAAAGGGCAAATGAGACCCTGTTGCATTCCTAATTGATAAGGCATGCTCCCTTAGACGGTCATTTGTGCAGCGCCCTGTCTGGCCTATATAGACCTTGCCACAGCTCAGGGGAATTTCATAAACAGTGCCCACAGCACAACGCAAGAAGAGCTTTACGTGATTCTTATCGCACACCACCTTGGCACCTCTTGAAGAAATGCGGGCACAGAGCCTTGAAAGCTTATTTGGAGCAGAGAAAAGCACTGGCACATGGTGCCAATTTGCAACATTTTTTAGGTTGTGGGAGATTTTGTGCATGTATGGTACAACACGCAGTCTTTTCCTCTGTCCATGCAATGGCTCTGGCCTCCTGCGTTCCCCCTTCAGCCTCTGCAGCAATGTTTCAGACACACTGACTAAGACCGAATAAGGAATCCCGGCTGCAGTGAGCCGCGATACCTGAATGGAGAAACTATCAAACACTGTGTGCTTTACCATGATGTACGCTTTACCAGGACCACTGTGAGAAGAAAGAGGTATTGATTGATATGTGGGGTTTAACGTCCCAAAACCACCATATGATTATGAGAGACGCCGTAGTAGAGGGCTCCGGAAATTTCGACCACCTGGGGTTCTTTAACGTGCACCCAAATCTGAGCACACGGGCCTACAACATTTCCGCTTCCATCGGAAATGCAGCCGCCGCAGCCGGGATTCGAACCCGCGACCTGCGGGTCAGCAGCCGAGTACCTTAGCCACTAGACCACCGCGGCGGGGCGAAGAAAGAGGTAGACATAACACACGTGTTTTGAAAGTGTACAAAATATATGAGACCGTGGCACACTGGATAGCATGCCCATTAACTCTGTTCGCCGACCGGGAGATGGAGTGGGTTCGACTATGTACCATTAACGGAACTCTTAGTCTTCTGATCATGTGTATTTTTTTTCGGCGTCCTTTGCGAGACGCAAGTACGTCACTGAAATCTTGATGAATCCTGGCATGAAATACTTTTGTGTTAAAAAAGTGCAAGTATTTAGGCGTCCAAATTTCATCAGGTCTCAAATAGGAAAGACAGGTAATATATATTGTTAATAAGATATTGCTTGTTGAAACACTCGCTCAAAATTTTCATCAGTATTTCATCAGTTTTCATCAGTGGCGTATGCATATGTCAATCGTTCGCTTCATGGAAGGGACACTGGGTACCTTCTGTAAACAGTGCATATCCGACTTGGAGAGTGTATGAAGGAAATCGTTCCCTTGATTTAAATAAGTATCGCTGTAAAGACCAGGCCACAAAAATTTTCAGGCAAACCGAACTTCCCGCTGTACAAAACCGAGCCAGACTACGTCTTAGCGGTGCTTGGCTGCTCACCCGAAGGTCGCGGGTTCGATCGTGCAGCCGTGGCGGTCGCATTTCGATGAAGGCGAAATGGTTAGGCCCGTGTACTGCACGTGCGACATCAGCTCACGTTAAATAAGACGAGGTGGTCGATATTTCCGGATCCCTCCACTACAGCGTCTCTCATAATTATGCGGTGATTTTGACAAGTAAAGCATATATTATTATTATTACTATTACTATTATTATTATTATTATTAGTAGTAGTAGTAGTAGCAGTAGTGTTTTCTATGTTATCAATAGCAACATGAAAATTAATGCAAGTAACTGCTCACTACGCCGATTGTGTGCCGTAGTAGGTTTATTTGCATTGATTACAGCACCCAAGCCAGCATGGTAGGTGGTTTTGTTTTTGTTCTTTTTGTATTATGAGGGCGCCCACAGTAAGCATGCAGAGAAATGCCAATTCTTAAGAGATATGAAGTTAAAAACTGCCTGATTGAATGGTTTGTAAACCATGCTACAACATTCCTACAGATTTTTTTTTTGCCAGCTGCGTTGCAGTATAGGCTCGTTACCCACCTAATTAAACAATTAAGCAGAACAAAAAATAACGTGACTTGCTCCATGCACTAGTCAGCATTATGCAGTTTGATAAAGTGCTATATCTGAACTATCTCTTGTCCCGTAGGTGGTCTAGTGGCTAAGGTACTCGGCTGCTGACCCTCAGGTCGCGGGTTCAAATGACAGCTGCGGCGGCTACATTTCCGATGGAGGCGGAAATGTTGTAGGCCCGTGTACTCAGATTTGGGTGCACGTTAAAAACCCCAGGAGCCCTCCACTACGGCGGCTCTCATAATCATAGGGTGGTTTTGGGACGTTAAAACCCACAAATCAATCAATCATCTTGTCCCGTAGGTGAAGTAGCCGACACGACATCTTTGCGGTGCGAACAGGCCGTCCGCCACAGTTTTTTTTTTTTTTTCAGTCCGCAAAACGACGCGTGACGAAGACAGGTCGTGCATGCGTAAGAGCGCCCTACCTTATCAGCGCCGTGCTTTCAAGTCCCCACAAGAGGGACATGCCTATTTCTAAGCCGATGTAAATGTTTCGTACTGTCATAACAGATACTGCCCGCACCCAGCCGCTATTTAACGACTGCCATCAAATTTCTGTCAGGCCCAATTGCCACACACACTTTGACGACGGCGCGGACGCCAGGTTTTCAATCGCTCGTTTGCTAGCTCCAATGAGAGGCTTCACTGTTTCATGGCGTACATCAGCCATTCGCTTGACCTGATTTTGCTTAATTCAGTGCTGCGCTCTACACTCCACCCGCTTTCTTTGCAATATGGTCTACGTTAATGTCAGTGTATACCTTCTTCAGAGATAGTATATTTCAGTGAACGAGACCGAATGAGCCCACTAAAATAGGTCAAGAAGAACAGTCTACAATTCATTTTTGGTAGATATGACATTGCATGATGCTTTTTTTATAGTTACGCATGGGACGGCATAAACATACTCCCATGTTCGAAGCGCGGTAAGCTGATGGTTCAAGCGTTCTAGCGATCATGAGGTCAGATCCCGACATTTTTTATTGGCTGCATTTATCGAAGCAGCCATGGCGATACACCCTTGTTATCTGCAAGTCACGCACCGTATAGTACGTAATGTCCAGTATCGCTACTATACAGCCCAACCGTCGCGGTCACTCGGACTATAGACCCTATCGCTGTTCACAAACACAATTGCTGAATTTCCGGTTCTGTGTGCCGATCTAAAAACGTTGGTGCCGGCGTATCCTGGCAGTATTGGTGAGAAGCAGAAGCCTTAACGAGCGCAGGTCGCGGGTTCGATTCCCGGATGCGGCGGCTGCATTTCCGATGGAGGCGGAAATGTTGTAGGCCCATGTGCTCAAATTTGGGCACACGTTAAAGAACCACAGGTGGTCGAAATTTCCGGAGCCCTCCACTACGGCGTATCTCATAATCATATGGTGGTTTTGGGACGTTAAACGCACATATCAATCAATCAATCAATCAATCAATCAATCAATCAATCAATCAATCAATCAATCAATCAATCAATCAACCAACCAATAAATGGAAGCCTTAACAAGTGGCCAGTTAATTTTCAAGAATTTTCTTCCTGTGTCTAGTGAAATATTTCATATACACTTTCTTTCAAGCTAGATGAAACATGATAGAAGTTAGTGCTTTACATTCAGCACCTCACGTTTACCTGAAAGCGGAAAAAGTCTTTCCCTTTTCTTGTACCTTGTATTTATTGTACCTTGAGATCTTGTATTTTAAGTTGTGCTAAAGCACAACTTAAAATGCAAGATTTTAAGTTACAAGAAATACAAAATGCTTTGGTGTTAGAGAGTAATAAATGAAGTAACCGGAAGTTTTTTGGGTAGCAACACGTGCTTCTGTTACTCCTATGTTTAAACCGACCGAAAAGGCGGATAGCCGTTCACGGGTACTACCGTTTACAGTAAAACGTCTTTACAATTAGGTGCTCGCTACGCTTTAAAAATATTTCGTTGTACGGTCCACTTCGTTCGTTGTAAAAGCTGCGCCGTAGTGATTCAGCTAAAGCGTAAGCGACCATTTGTTACCCGAGTCGTTTCCCTGCACGAACGCTCGTTGAGGAGGGGCGCGCCAAACGCCGCCTTTTGTTGCGACGGATTTAGTTGCGTGCACTCACGCTGACACTCGTGGGCGTCGGTGGAGGTGGCCCTGCCCCAAGCCTGGTCGTTGAAGAGATCCATGCAGCGCTCGCAGTTGTCGCCGGCCGTGTTGTGCTCGCAGCGGCACAGCAGCTGTCGCTCACCGCCAGGTCCCGGGTCGCAGGCCATGGCGTGGCCATTGCACTGGCACCTGCGACACGCATCCAAGCCACTCACTCTCCGCAGGAGATCCCGGAAGGCCGGGTACATCTCAAAGATGTTTACATCACGAAGCATGTCTTTTTGTTTCTTTCAACGGCTACAGAATCCGTACTTGTATAAGATTAAATTATTATTATACACGACAGCCTGCTCAAACTACGGCTACAATAAGAAGAGTCGTAGTTGAAATCTACGCTGCATAAGTTCTCGCCACCTCGAGTACGCATTGAAAGAGCAGCCTTGAAAAAAGGTTGACAGAATATAGCTTCAGTGTCGTATCTCGCCGCTGTCATAATATTTGCTGACCATAAAATTCACCGAATCATTTCATGTGGTGTCATCGCAGTTTTCCTCGTTTAAGGATGGGGGCGTGAGCCATGGGATAAGTAAGCACTCTTTACAGATGCATAACGACGCTGAAGGGTCTAGTCTGCCACGAAGAAATGAAAAGGAGATCTCAAGCGCTCTAACAAAAGGAAGCACGACAAACAAAGCAGCAATCCATCCGCTGGAGAAGCTCAGAAGCACAAGCATCCGCCGACCGTAGTAGCGAACTTATCGCCAGGACGGCTGGCCCGATAAAAAACAGTTGTTATATTGTAAGCAACGTTAACAGGTTGGCTGAGATAGTAGCCGAAAATGCAGGATACAGGTGTGGAGTGCACCCGACGGCATGCGCGCTGTATGTCTCGGAATCTGATGCATACATGGGCCGCTACTTACAAAGCGACTTCCGCGATAAAGTGTCCCAGTGTATCATACCAGCCGACGAGCGAATATTAAGCTTAGTGTGCGCTCGGCGCAGTGAAAACACAGCAACCATGCACATAAATGGACAGCTTAGATATAATCTATCAATATTGATGCTTTCTGCTACAGTTACAGTATCTAATATTAATTTACGGTGCCTGTTAGTCCGAATTCCCTTCTGTAAGCCGCAGGTCAAATGCTATAAGTACATATTTATATAGCGACAGTATGGACAACAAGTATTCTCCTATATCCTTTCCTTTCTACCCAATTAAGGCTATATATAAGTATTACAACCTGGTTAACCTCCATGCCTTCCCTTTGCCTCTCCTTCACACGTGTCTTGATTCCACAGTACATTATCGTATGAATTACGAAAAAGTTTCCATCTAAGTCGCTAGGAATAGGTGCTGAGAAATATTTCTGAAAAAGTGATCCGGTGAAGCGCGGTGTCGTGACCCAAAATTTACCCGCACAACAGACTGATCTCACATGAGCGGCGTGCATTGGAATAATGCCACGGAAATGCTTTCTTTGTATCGCCAAATTCACTGGCGATGTTTTTTAGGAAGGTAGAAACGCGAGGAATAGCGGAAAAACATTTAAAAAAATGGATAACCAACATTCCCAAACAAAAACATTGGTAAACTATGTCTCGACAGTCCTCTTAACTTGAACGCGTTGATTACGGCACTCAGCGCGTGCCCTGCGTGCAATGCCGCATCGTTAACAGCTGTCGAGGATGCGAAAGGTAGCAGACGACGCTCTCACCTTCCTCCAACGGCCAAGTCCGCGATGGCGTAGTAGTATGATCTCAGCACCTGCTTGTCGCCGAATATCTCGTCACCAAACGTGTTGAGTCGAGTGAGCACGATGCGGATGGCGGTGGCTGTTACCCATTCCTATCGAGGGGGAAAAAAAAGAGGAAAACCAGCTGTTTGGCACAAGACACTCAAACCTTTTCGCTTTGAAATAAATCTTCAGTGTTGTTCAAACGTTTGTGACTGTTAGCGCATCATGTTGTGCTAGTGCGTATGCGCGCGCGCGCGCGTGTGTGTGCGCGCGCGTGTGTGTGCGTGTGTGTGCGTGTGTGCGTGCGTGCGTGTGTGTGTGTGTGTGTGTGTGTGTGCGCGCGTGCGTGCGTGCGTGCGTGTGTGTGTGTGTGCGTGTGTGTGTGCTGCTTTATACGTGATTACGGAGAACTATGTTGCTATTTTGCTGATTTAACTCCGTTTATGATTCGGACTACGATGTTTGGTCAAGGCATTGCCCGTTGTTTGTGTAATGTGTGAATGCCCGGCTTACTCGCCTGCCATATGACGGGTTTGCAGTTAATAGTCTGTTAACTTACTGACTAACTAACTAACCAAGTTAACTATTTACCTTTGAAGACCTGACGCGTTTTTTTTTTTCTCTCTACATATAAACTATGGAGAACAGTTAGTATGAGCATGTAGAATCCTTGCCCGATCCCAGAAATGCTCGGAGCAACGGTTGTGCTATGCCACCAAATGGTGATACATCAGTATCGCAGCTTTGAAAATTCATACGAAGAAAAATACAAAAATTGAAATGAGGTGCTTATATTGGAAGGGTTTCCCGCGCAAGCACAAAAGTTCTGAAAAGAAATAGTTATTTTTTATTTAAATAAGAAGAAAGAAAGAGAGAAAGAAAGAAACAAGAAACTTGGAGGGAAAGGGTAACAGTGAGGACACCGGTAAAGAAAGAGGGACGACACGAACGCGCTTCGTCCCTCGCTGATACTCCTTTCCTTGCGTGCTTGCGCTGCGAACCCTTTCAATATGCACTTGAACCAAGTAGCCCGAACAGCTGCGCTTTTTAAAATGAGGTATCCATTAAAACAAGAGGTTTCATTAGGAGGGCCTATTCAATACTAACAGCGAATGTTTCGCAGCTGACCGCTGGTTGTCTGGTGGTGCAAAAAACTGTCAGCAATGGGCTCGCTGCAGGTGCAACGCGTAAGTCGGCTGCCCCGCACTCTCTTTTTGGTCCTCTTCTTAGTCTTAGAAGTGACTATGTAATTAAAGATGGCGCGCTTTTGGTGACACACATTAGAGATACGACGCAAAGGTAGACATATTTGACAAAGATCGCTATGGCTGAGTAAGAATTACACGAACACAACAAGCTCTCCAGTCACTCTCAGTCTCTGCTTTTCAATATACAATTAAAAACTGGTCCTACGTTTCGGGGCTCATTCGGTCACTTCCTCAGGAAATGAGACCTGAATGGATTCTTTCCTTAGGGAAATGAGGATTGTAATAGCTTAGCCGATTCCTCGCTAAAAGCCGCTTCGGGTCGTCTATAGCAACGAGCGACGCCACAGCTCTGCTCTCGTGATTAATGTCATGCTACTAGTCACGTGATACTAGCATCACGTGAGAACACTTTTCGTTCGCTTTTGTTTATTCGCATTTACATTACAATTACTTCTGATAGTATTCGGCATAGCTTCCTTGACATCATTTCCTGTTCTCAGTCATATTGCGTCTCACAAAGAAAACAAACCCTTAAATTCACAATTCTTCATGACAATAGAACGTTACGTGATCACTCTCCTCGCTAGTGTCAAGTGACAGTGGTCACGTGAGCTATCACCTAACGTCACTAGTCCTCACGTGACTAGTGAGTACTGATGCAACGTAATAGGGGCCCACTAGTCAGCCACGTGACTGGTTACTCAAGCAGTTTTGCGTGATAAAAGAATGTCACGCCGCTAGTCACGTGACAATTAAGGCGCAAGAGTAACCTCACGTAACGACCGACTGCGGATGACATATTTTCGCATATGCTCTAAAACACTAGCGCCAGCTAACTGCCGAGCAGCTGCGCTATGTCTTCAGCCTCGCGCCACCGGACAAATCACAGAGATTTTTTTTACGTTTTAGATAAGCCTGTCTAAGCCAAAATGACGACTGAAAAAGTGCAAAAACCGGAGTGTCGGTACATGTTTTTCGTCGCGTATTATTTAGAATATGCGCGCTGTGTGTTGGCCCCGAAGTGTTTCATGTAGAATATCCCTCCAAAGTAGTCGCAAAATCTTTTATATTTTATTATTAAGAAATTACCATTTTCGTGAAAAAATGGCACGGTCATATAGTAGTTCCGGGATGTAAAACCTAAAAGAGGTATTCGTAAAATTGACGACGCATAGAAAACATTTGCGCCCCGCATTCGGCTGTACATTCTGCTCCATATTAAAAAAAAATGTCATCGAACATGCGCTGTAGCTTAACAATTCTTTGGCTCTGGTGAAAGATACTGTTTCTGTGCTTTCTATTGTGTTTGTGTGGATCAGTGTTGCACACTAACCAACGAACTTTGAGAGTGCATTAGGTGGCGAGAAATTTTTGTAGAGTAAAATATATTTGAGAAAATTTTCTGAGCAAGACAGTTAATAGGGGCGAAATTTTTTCCCAAAGTTTTAAGATTATCACCAATACGCACTGTGAAATTCGACTAAAAAGCGAACAATCTTAGGTCAAGCATTTTAGATAAAGAATTCAGTGCCTCAGTCACAATAGAGGAAAAAAAAAAAACGGTGAAGTAATGGCTCAAGAAGTATCAATATTATATTACTTAAACCAGTGCATACGGCTTTATTCTGTTTACGTCGGGAGTAGCCACATTACAAAACGAAATTGCCGCACTTCCTTTTTTCTATCTGACCCTTTAGGAGTGACTAGGGCACAGGGAGGTTGTCCACCTTGGTCGAAGATGTATTAAATGTGTATTAACGCGGCCCAGCCATGATTAAAAAAGTATGGCAGAGAAACGGCCCCCAACTTAGGTCGACTTTGTGCACTAATCGTGGTTCTGCGTTGCTGGATGTTTTGGTGGTGAACGTTGTTTCAAATCGCTGCGATAGTCTCGCACTTGGTCGATATTCTATACAGTGAAAAACTCAATGAAAAGTAATGCTCACCCATTTACACGTAAGAATAATTACTTGCGCACCCCCACAGTTCTTTTTCTCTCTCTCACGTTGAGCCCGGCTACAGTTGTTTTGGTCACTTAGATAGCTACAACACGCCGCAGACGCGATACCCACCACCTGACCAATACGCAACGCAAAGCGCGCTTGCAACGCACAAGTTAGGTGTAAAGGTGAGGTTGCATGGAGTAACGGTGTATACATAAACGACGCCCACGGTGATGCGGCGCGTGTTTTGAGACTTGCCTGCAGTAGCTTGCTGTGTTCGAAGTGGAAGGCCGACGGTCGTCCCTCGAGCGTCGAGAAGGCCACGTTGCCTCCGGACAGCGGGGACAGGCCGCTGTACTCGCCCGTGCACAGCGCCTTGGTCTCGTCGTCGCGCGTCGCGTAGGTGCTCGACTGCAGGCCGTACGTGTCGTGGCACGTTGAGCTGTAGTACTGGTACGGCACCCACGGAGAGCCCGGCCGCGTACGCTTGTAGATGGCGAAGCTCTCGGGCCGCATCGAGTGAAACTTGAGCCGAATGTACGTGATGTCAAAGGCGCGTCCTGGTGTGGAGGGGAAGAGAACAGCGAAGCACAAATGATACCGGGATCGGGTATACCTTCACGCATGCAGTACATCTTAAAGACTTTGGAAGCTTTGCTCGTTTTTACCCATTGCGATCGTGGTCGAGTTATACGGGAAGCCTCACTGATTAGAGGGGCTAGGTTAGCACATAAAATAAACAACAAGCCACCACAAATGGTTCCTCACATTGCGTGTTCCGACAAAACACTCAATAGTCAGCCAATTTCAGCTAGCGAGCAAGAAAAACAGCAACAACGCTGCTTTGATAGCGTTACAAAAGTGCGCTGAACAAGTCTGAAAAGCAAGCTGAATGCCAGTAGATTTTCTAGTCCCTATAAAGGGTGAGAACGGAAAACAAGCCATGGCACATACCAATGAAAAAAAAAGAGAAAGATACGCCCCCTTATTGTGCGAGAGTAAAATGTTTCAATCGCAAAAATTCAAACAACTGGCGAAGTATGCGATGTTACGTCCCGAAACCAAGCTTTGACTGTACGAGACACGCCATAGTGGAGGCATCTGCAAAGTCTGACCATGTGGCGCTCTTCAACGTGCACAGTACACGGGTCTCTAACATTTCGCATTCCCCAAAATCCACCGCGGCGGCCCACGGCAAGAAGTACCTGTGGTTCCACGAGAATAAGGTAAACATTCATTCGCATAATAACATATATTTTGTAAGTGCGCCACGCAAACTTCTCTAGTTCACGATTTTGGCTGTGGCTGCAAGTTGATGAGTGCGATCTGAAAGCGCTTTTTAGTGAGGCATTAAGCAAAGGTACAAACGCTGTGTATATTACTGGCTGGAAAAGAAACACCGCGAGTCATAATAAGAGACTGAATTCAAGAAAAACTGCCTATTTTATTGCTTGCATTCTTATCATGCCACTTTAATATATTAGCATAAACTAGAGGCTGAGCAGGGCCTTGTTGATGTTTTTACAGTACCTATATATAAATGCCCATTTTTGGCGTTTCATGCCTAAATGCCCATTTTCGAAGCCACCGCTTATGGGAACGCTATTTAGGCTGAAATTTCAGTTTCGAGTGCGGCTTCCTACCTTCATCCATGTCACAGGGCCGCATTAATCTTTCCGAACGCTGCAACATTGAACCAAGCCATCTAGTTCAAACAACTTCCGAAGAACAAGCGCTAGCGGCAGTAAAACGGTACGTGGAGGCCAACATACGCTGCAGCACTGACATGACATGAGTGTTCGAACGAGATGAAGATTAAACGACTCTATTCCTGCAACCCTGAAATGGGAGCACGTCTCAGCGTCTGCGGGAGAACGGGAAGAGATAAGTACAGATGGGAGGAGAGGAGAGTGGCATCCATCGCCGAGGACTCGGCGAGCGGCTTCCACAAACGGTTGTGCAGTCTACCGAAGGAATTGAAGAACCACCCTGCAGAGTTGAGTGCGGTGGTGGAAAGGAAACAGGAGGTCCCTTTGTGTAGCCCAGTCAAGCTGCTGACGGCATTTTTTAGCCCCGGAGGACTTTTCTAGTTTGTACTAGAAGAAATAATAAAAGTTGAAGTTGAGGTTGAAGAAGCCACGGGAAGGGGGAAAACGAATGTGAAATCGCGGAAAGCCGGCAGGTGAAAGCAGAACACGCCACTTTTGTTTCCTTTGTACTTTTTTAAAAGGCCACTGACCAGGTCACATACGTATCTGCAGTTAGACACTGGAAGTTGTCCCATACCCGATGAGGAGCTTTGTGGCAGCATATTGTTTTTCAATTCGTTCGTTAAGAGACATAACACCGTGATGCGATAAGCCAGCTTGAAACACTTGCCCCTCGCCCCACGTTGCTATCGCAAGCCTAATTTTTTTGTATCAGAACCAGCGGATCACACGACTCATACGCTTCGACACGTCACAGTGTACACGCAAGGTCACGTGCGCATGAGGTGCACGAGCCTGCTCGTGCACGTATACGCCGTAAATGATGTGTTGTTTCAACGTTCTTAGTAGTGCATTGCCCATTTCTGTGCGATACATCTCTGAGTGTGCGTAGAGAGGCTGGGACGCTCCATGTATCCTTACCGCGATACGGACCCCGCGTCGTCCCGCGGGTACTGCTGTCAGAGACAACGCACCGAAAACACGCCAAGCGTTGGCAATACTGGCGTCGCCACTATACGTGGGAACGGTGAGAAGACGAACGCATGAGAAGCGGAGACCAATTGGTGTATAGCATGTCACTGCGATTTGAAATAAAAAAAACAAGGATAAAAACGGACTCATATTACGTTTGTGTGTTTCCTCCTATCTGTAAGCAAAAGTTAGCCGAGATGGGAGTTTCTCCAGCACATGAGCCCACAAAACTCCCCTGCCCCAATTATTTACTCCCTGGTAGGGAGTGAACTCGGCACATGTCGTCGCAAAACGCCCCCTCCTTAATCACAGAGTTTATGAACGACATGACCTTGTTAAACTCCCCAGGGAGTTTCAGGTCACGTGGTTATAAACTCCCTATAGGAGCTTTAAAAACCCTCTTTGGGCGTGACGTGTGTGTGTGTGTGTGTGTGTGTGTGTGTGTGTGTGTGTGTGTGTGTGTGTGTGTGTGTGTGTGTGTGTGTGTGTGTGTGTGTGTGTGTGTACGGGCATATGTTTGCACGTCGGTGTGAAACACATGTGCTTTGTGTGGCTAACCGTGTAAGCATCTGTCAACAGGCAACGAAATTATAAGTGCAGCGAAGAATAGCAACGACCGGTTGGTATTTACTGAAAACATTTCAATATATTTCGCACCGTTAAACCACGCTGCACATCGGTCCGATTCCTCAACGAAACATCGTGAATGCCGCGCTTCAAAGGGCTGAGTAACAAAAAACTTCGAAGAATAAATTAATTGTAGCAAAAGTAAGCTGTTACGATCATCAGCGGCTGCTCCTGGAGTTTCACCATCAGAAACTTCGAAGTGGTCTGAAGTAGGCTTCGCTCGACTACGGCAGGCTGGCCGGCAACCGGTCTGAGAGTTGCGCCGGCGACGCGCTCGCCCCGTCTCCGCCGATAGTGGCTTCTCGGAGTGTCACCGGTATTTCACCGGCTGCAACATCTAAGCGGTAAGAAGGCCTCGCTATGGCGTCGGTATCAAGCCGGCATCGTATCGAGCTCGCACTGCGCACCGGCCGCCGTGGCGAGCTTTGCGAGCTATACATGCAATGCATTCGAGCAACGGGAACAGCGACTGCGAACCGTCCCATTCGTTTAAGCCTATCGCCCCGTAGCTTAAACTGCGTGGATAGCGGACACCTATTTCTGTGCATGGGAAAAACGAGACGTAAACTGCACATCAGCAAGCATTTTGTGATCGCCAGCTGTCATTCATCGAATCACCGTGCCGTACTCGTGAGTGAGGCCTAGTCGTCGAACGCGGTAGCGGCGGTCTACCTCGGTTCATCGCTGGAGCTGCCGAATGTGCCTCGTTAATGTGTTCATTCAAGACCGCGCGCACTTTGTGTATGATTCCGTGCATTTTACGGGTCCACAAACAGTACTGCTAATGCAAATTCAGCCCGTACGACAGAGCGTCAACTGATGAAACTTTTTCGCTATAGTAAAAAAACAATAAATATTAGGCAGGTTTAAGATAAAAGGCATTTGTGTTGAAGTGCTTACATCAGACTACCGCAAGTTCATACTTACGCCGTGCGTATTTATTGCCTAATTAATAGCGAAAAAGGGCTTTAACCAGGGCTACATGGCAGGTAAAAATGTGGTGCATATATATACCCGGTGACTATATGGTAGGTGTGTACTGCGTGGGGCAAGCTGTGGTGAGTGCGAGTGTTGTGATATAACGTGAACATTGTGATAATGTTTGTGTACTGTAACCATTGTTGTGAGCATTAAATGTTATGTAATTAAAGTTGCGCTTGCGCACGGTACGGCTGCTGACGCAATTTTTTTCTTTGTCGATGCAAAAAATTTACTCCCATACTGACCTGAAAAAGCTCCCCAATGTATGTAAATAAAAACCCCCCTGGCACCATGCAAAAACCCCCTAATGATGGGGAGTAAATTTTTTACTCCCAATGGAGATGTTTATAAAACTCCCATCGGGGCGTTCGCTAGAGGACAAGGTCATTTACTCCCATCTCGGCTTATTTCTGTTATATACAGCGGCCAAGAGTAGTATTTTCCTTAATTAAAGATCACATTCATTCAGTCATTCATTCATTCATTCGTTCGTTCGTTCATTCTCTTAGCTTTTATTCAAATTATGAACAACAGATTGCAAAAATGACGCATGTCGCCTCACATAAATCTCACAATGTCACGTGCTACGGTCTCATAACGAGGTGCCACCTAAGGTGTCAGATATATATCCAGGAGACGGTATATTTTCGAGTGGTTTTCTGGATATAGCCAGAATTTACCTGAGAGTGACGTCACAGCCCCAATGAGCACATAATGGAGTGAGGTAGAAGCAGTACACCTTTTCTTGTACGTCACACCCTCCTTCGTGTCAGGGCACGCTCACAAGAGAAGGGCAAGTGGCATTCAGTCTGAAATGTCACGTCTCTCCACGACGCGTAGCATTGCAAATCTTGGCAGACGTGATCGTGAGCCCCCGGTGCATGCATTGCACTTGTAAGCTCAAAATACTCAAACCTGGTGAGGGGCCCTTTAAGTTGTTTACCCACAGCAGAGAAATGGACCCTATGCGGTTACACCCGTCTAATGCAGGGCATCTCTCGCTTCTGGTCCTTTAGTGGTCTGGCTACCTGATAATGTGCTGTCCTCCGCCACGACCAATAGAAAGTGACCCAGGAGTGTGTTGATTCCACAGTGAACATTTGACTCACCATGCTAGACAACAGAACGAAACACAATGTCCTGCGAACCACGTGGGAAATTCGTGGCTGTGTTCAACCATTGGAGCCTTTGCACTATCATAAAAAAATCACATTTCCTGCTTCCTGTCGTACATACAGGTCACGCGTGCTAATTTTAGACATTGTTTAGAT